CTCCTTGCTATATATACTTGAATAAAAATCCCAGCTCCCAAGAGGGTAGACGTTAAAAAAAAAAAAAAAAAAAAAATATAGTGTCTTTTGCAGTTTATATTTATTTTACTTTTCTTACCTTGTTCTGAATTTTTTAGATTTTTATATTAATAGCAATAAAGAATTTCAAATGTACAGTGTTGTTGAAGAGAATAATAATATCATAGTAAAATATAATAACAATCTGATGACAAGTAAATAGTGAAATTAATGTATTAGTCTTCATATTTTATATTTATTTTACCTTTTCTTATCTTGACTAATTTGTTTTAGGTTTTTATATTGATAATAATAAAGACTTTCAAATATACAGTATAGTAAAAGAGAATAATAATGCTGCAGTAGAATATAATAACAAGTAAATAGTAAAATTAATGTAGTAGCTTTTATATTTTATATTTATTTTACCTTTTCTTACCTTGTTCTTATTTTTTTAGACTTTTATATTAATAATAATAAAGAATTTCAAATGTATAGTAGTGTTGTAGAAGGTAATAATAATGCTGTAGTAGGACATAATAAAAATCTGATAACAAGTAAATAGTAGAATTAATATAATGGCTTTCATGTTTTACTTTTTCTTATCATATTCTAATTTTTTTAGGTTTTTATATTGATAATAATAAAGAATTTCAAATATACAGTGTTGTAGAAGGGAATATAATGAAAATCTAATAATAAATAAATAGTAGAATAATGTAGTAGCTTTTATATTTTATATTTATTTTATCTTTTCTTACTTGTTCTAATTTTTTTAGACTTTTATGTTAATAATAATAAAGAATTTCAAATATTATCTAACGTACCTTTCTGAAAGTGCTTTGTAAAGTGATGATAATGCTGTAGTAGAATATAATAAAATCTGATTATAACAAGTAGTGGAATTAATGTAGTGGCTTTCATGTTTTATATTTTACCTTTTCTATCTTGTTCTAAATTCTTTTAGGCTTTTATATTAATAGCTATAAAGAATTCCAAATGTATTTTTCTAAACATTATAATAATATCGCAGTAGAATATAATTATAATCTTTTAGTAGAGTATAATAATAATTCTGGAGAAGATCATGATGAGAACTCTATGAATAACCAAAGCTTTTATACAGAATCATTACAAGAAAGTATAGAATTACTAAATACTATTTATGATGATAATATTTATATTAAAGCTGAAGATACTTTTTTTCTTAAGAAATTGTGAAAACTTGCCTTAATCAATTTGCAAGGTTTGTTAGATTTTGTATATGCTGTAAATGAGTTGAAGCTAATAATTATAAAATTATTCTCAATGAATATTTGAGTGTAGCTTTTCAGAAAAGTCAATTTCAAATCAAGTAATTAATCCAATACAACAATGTTAATAGCTATTTAGAAAAATCAGATACCATAGCATATAAATTTAATAATATCTAAAGTTTATTAGAAGTAGATATTACAAGTATTGTTGGGTAGCATAAACATTCTATGATTCCTGATATAACTTTATATACCCAAATACTGCAGACTGTCAAATGAAATAATAGACCAAATTAAGTTTTATATTACCAAAGGGAACATAGGATCAAAGCAAATCTATTTCTTAATAGTTACAAGTTTTCAGAATCAAATAATAGACGAGCAAGATCTTTATAATGCAATTCAGAAATTTAAGACACCTCTTACCAAACACCAAGAAGATACTTAGTATATAGTTAATAAACTGCTTGATTTGCAGAAAAAGAAGCAGGCTAGATAATTAAACAAGGCTTAACCCATTCATTAATCAACTTGTGGTGTTGTTTTAGGCATCTTCTGCTTAACAACAATATCTGATACGATATAATGATATAATGCAAATAGACTATACATGTTGAACTAATTAGTTCAACATGTATCTAACTCTTCTAGTCATTGTTGATAATAATACTAAAACTCAACTCAGTGCTTAATACTTATTAGATAATGAAACAACTGAAAGTTATGAGTAGTTTCTCAATTATATTCTTGAAGTAACAAATAATATTTTTTTGCTTGATATTTACTGATTCAGAAACTGTTTTAATAAATACTATAGTATTAAAATTGTCCACCATTAGCAAAAAAAATAAACTGTTATATATCGATTACTAATTGGGGCGAATATATATCAATGCTAATCACTTCTGCTAATTTCTATCAATTGCGATTATAATTGATATAAATCTAATTCGATTATAATTGATATATATCAATAGCAATCGATATATATCCAATTCGATTATAATCGATATATATTCAATTCGATAAAAAACAGCAGAGTGAGTAGCATCAATATATATCTACTCCAGTTAATAATCGATAAAATACAATAGTAATTGATATATATCGATAATAATCGATATATATTGATAGTAACAATAAATTTTTAATCAGATCACAATCAATATACATTCAATTTAATAATTATTTATAAATTATTGTCATGGCTGAAGCTGGAAATGGCTGAAGCTAGAAATTTTAAATATTTTAATATGAAATTTACAAAAAATTTTGG